TTATTTTTATTTTGTTGGTATATTTCATCAGTATTACAGTTAGTAGAGAACAAAAAAAAAAAAGAAATAAGAGAAATAAAAAAGCATGAATCCATCATGAAAGTCATAAATTATTCAATTTTATTTGCTTTCTTTTCCTTTGGAAATATTTGAAGAGAAGGTTTGTAGGAACGTGAAAAGAGACAGACAAAAATAAAAAATTCGAAGTTTTCTTTTTCTTCTGAAGGTTTTTTTTTTGCTATTTTTGCTCTTTATTATTATTTTGCCATTTTTAAAGGATATTATACAAAGAATTCCTATAAATAAAAATTCAAAAGGAAAAAAAAAATTAAATGGCAAGAATATGAAAATTGTGAAAGAGGGCAGGAGAGGAGGAAGTAGGGGAAGAGTAAGAGAAGAACAGAAAAAAAAAGCTAATATGGTTTTTTTTTTATTTCTTTTCCTTTTTCTCTTTCTAATGTACTTGATGTTATATTATATGTTATGCTATACGTATGTTATGTTATATGTAAACGTATATGGGTATAAACAATGTGATGTACTTGTATTATACAATGTACTTGTCGTCGTCGTCGTCGTTTCGTTCTACAAAATTTATTAGTTAAGACTTTATTAAGTAGTTAAATAAGTATTTTTGGTTTTTTGGCGGCTTATGCAAGGAATCAAAAAATATTGGAATTTTTTTTTTTTGTTTTGATTATACTTTCCTTTAATTTTTGCTTTTATTCTCACAGGAATTTTCTAAAATATACTCTTTTTTTTTTTTTAAAACTAGCTCGCTATGTATGAAATAAGAAAATTAATTTTTTATTTTGAATAATTTCCAATATCCTAACGTAAGTAGCAAAAGTAAATTTTGTATATTATGGAAAACTGTTATATTTATAGCTGTTATTTATAGTATAATATTATACATATTTGTTTATATAAGTACTCAAATATATCAATATTTTACGAAAATTATGGCTATTTTTCAAAAATTGCTATTTGATTATAAATAATGCAAGTCGTTAGTTTACACACTACTTATAAAATATGAGAGAATATTGTAAAAGTACATATATGCACAAAATAAAAGAAAAAAAAGAAAAACATTTATCAAATATTCAGTGTTGCCATCCTATTCGTATAAATTTCTCTTTAAGTGTAAAATTGGAAAATTTAAATTCTTGGTCATTAAGAATTTCTTAAGAGTTATTTTAAAAATGTCGAATACAATTAAATTTGTATCGGGTATAAGTTTGAATACAATTTTAATGTTATCAGATAAGTAATTATTTAAGTGAAATATTGCAGAAGAATGCAAAATAATCTTGCCTTCTCAAACTCAGTAATACGATATTAATACCAAATTTCAGCTTATAAATGTCGATTGCAGAAATATTTCATGCAATTTGGAAGTCAAGGTACCTCATATTTTTCATAAACGGCAATACTTTTATTCTCATATATTTGTATATGTATTGAACATATATTGAAAATTTGTAAGCACTTATATACATATAACGTAATATTTTGTTATAGTAAGTATAATATGTTTGCACTTATGAAAATGAGAAAATAAATTGTTTTCCGCATTGATATTTAGGTTAATGTAATAAGGATATAATATTTAAAAAGAAGAAGAAGAATAACAATATAATAATAATGAATGGTGTCAATTCACAACACTTTAATTATTTTTTTTTCATCTTCTTTATTATTTTTTATAGTTTTTCAACAGAAATAGTAGTTTTAAATTTGAAATTTTATTAATTTTTAATAAAAGTAATTATTTATAAAATTTTACCAACTAATTAGTAAAATTAAGTAAATAAAAATTAGAGAAAATATTAGAGTTTAAAGGCGAAGAGAGAATCATATTTAATTATGTAATAAAATTCTTTAAAGCATTTATTTTAAATATTCTGATTTCAAGATCTAGTAATACAAAATTCAGATACACAATTCAGCTTATGAGTTTCAATTGCTGAATTGTATATTATTAAGTTTAATTTCTGAATAAATAATTAAATTATCATTAGGTGTTTGTTTCTTAGATTTTCTATTACAAAAACTATTAAAAAGAAGCGCAAATAATATGGGAATTTGTTGAATTTCATATTTATTTAATTAATAAACATATAAACTTTATCAAATTATGATAAAGGTTTCATTTTACAGGTTACTCACATAAGTATAATATAATAAATGTAAATTGCACTTAAGTATATTTTCTTATCTTTGTTTTTCTATTTAAGAAGTCATTTATTTCGCTTAATTTGTATATTTTAATTAAATAAGTACTTAATTTGATGATTCATCAAAATCTAATAATAAATTAGTAGTCATGTTTCTTTTGAAAGCAACCCAATTATAAAAATGTCGGGGAAATTTTAAAAATTTCCAAGTTTTATTTAAAGAAAGTGCAAATATAATAATTTTAATTATGGATTATCATTATTATTATATTTTTATTACAATATCTTATTTAGAAGTATTTAAATTATATGTACATATACATATGTATATTTAAATATTATATGCATATAAAATTTTAAATACAACAAATGACGTACACTAAAAAAAAAAATATTTAAATTTTTTCAGCTTAAAACAAACAAGATATCTAGAGTATAGTAATTTTGTTATTGTGCGACAATTTTTTATATTGAAAATAACAAAATTCCCCTTCAATTAGATTTTTGCATAATATTTCATTAGAAATATATCAATATAGAAAATAATTGTTATATTATATTTAGATAATGTTAATATTAATAAAATTCAATAAAATGTAAATATTTATGCAAATATCCAGTGTACATACATACTTAAGTGGAAAAACAAGGAAAAAATAGGAAAAACTAGAAAACAATTTCATTGAATTTTTATTACATGTCATTATTTCTATCGAATATTGTACATACGAGTACCTTTATAATATAATAGTAATAGTTAGCAATAAAATATTGTTTTAGTAAGAAAATCTTTATACTGATAGGTACATATGCAAATTTTCTAAATTTATCTTAAAAATAAATTTTGTTATTCAATATTTTTAATTTATAAATTATTAATAAAATTTTGAAGTAAGTTTTTTAAATAACTGTACTATATACCGTAATATTGTATAGTAAATTGCCCGAATTGTTCGAAATCTTATTGAAAAACATTAAATATTTTAACAAAATTAAAGCAGATTGAGCATTAAGAAAACCTTAATGCGAATTAGTCTGTAATTTACTTAGCTCAGTTACATATTCTGAACATAATTTTTAAATAAAGAGTTGAAGAACTGAAAGAGTCAGAGTTTTATTTCATATATAATTGGAAATGGGAACTGAGCTTTGTTTTTTTTTTTACAAATACTTAAATTATACGTACACGATAATCAAAATCACCAAGAGAACAACAAAAATCAAGTAGCAGCTCCCAAAATTTAAGTATTGTATGTAATATGCATTTCAAATACAAAATATACTGTAATGTAATGTGAGTAATTCTCATGATTATTTACTTAATTTAATGTTTATTAAGCATCTCTTCTTACTCATTTAATAATTTTTACTGTATGCACTCCCTAAACTAGTGTAAAATTTTACTCTTCACCATAATATACCAAACGACCCGACGTCTTCTTAACATAAAAAAAAACTAATGAATTAGTTAAGTATAAAGCACATACTTAAGTATAAAATGCAAGTATAATGAAATAATTAAGAGATTCAAAATGTGAAAAAAAAATTTATAATAATAAAATGAGAAAATAACAAAATTATAATAATAAAAACAGCAATATAACAATAATACAACGTATAAGTATAACATTTTATTTTTGTTTTTCTCAACATCAATGAATATTGAGGTAAAGGTGAAAAGATAAAAAAAAACAAAATAAACTAAAAATTTTTGTTTTTCTTCTTTTAATTTAAATAAATATGTGAATATGTTCGTGTGTGTATATAATGTATTATGTATATGAGATTGAAAAATAAATAAATTTCTTAGCATAATAAATAGGTAGGTATGTACCTATACTTAGTTAAGTACTTTTTATGTTCTATCTACTTCGAATTCTAATTTAGAATTTAAAGTTGTTGTTTTTTTTTGTTTCTTTACAATTGACAATAATTGATTATAAATTCAAGGGCTCATTTTATTTAAATATAAAAATATCAATAACTTGTTTTTTTTTTTTCAAATAGGGTACATAAGAATATTTTCATTTTCATGGTTTTGTATTGAGTTCTTTTCTATTTAGCTTTAACATTATGTATATAATAGGGTACAAAAATGCCGATATTAAATTTATGGATAATTACATTAATAATAGTGAAGAGCTCTAAGATCAAGAAGATTGCGACATTAGAATGGTAATTTATGATGTCTAAGTGTAATCATGTTGGTATGATGGAAAAAATAGGTAGGTACACTAAATTTTAAAATTTTTAATTAAAAATTAAATTCGGTATTTGTATTTGAGAAAAATTAACATTATTTTTATTTAATAATTGTGGTTTTAAATTTAAAATTGATTTTTTCTTCTTCTTCTAAAATGAAATTCAGAAATAGAATTCAGGATTTTGTAAATTGCGTCGGTCAAAAAATTTTCATTTGAAAATATCGTAATTTCTGATTTTAAACTAAAAATCAAATACAAATATAGTCTAGCTATTAATCTGATCTATCAATTTTAATTTATTTGAATATTAATAGGAAAACTTAAAAAATAATTTCTTAGCTACAATAATAATTTCAAAACAACATTTTTCTAATATTAAATATTGTTAATTAATTAACAATAAATAATTAAGGGGCTGCTAATTATTTTAATTAATTAATAATTAATTAGGAAATAATTATAATTAAGAAATTAAGCTCTTAACAATTTTATATAAAGGACATACAAAAATTAACTGTACTACACAAACAATTTATTCATTCTTAATTAAATTTACAAATTAAAATTCACACGAAAATTATTTTTATAAAATTTTTAATTTTGTAATTTTAATTACCTTTGAAAATATACTAAGTAGAGCCATAATAAAACATTCAATCGAATTTCACATTAAATTTTAAGAAAATTTAATTTTTTTTTTACTTAATTTACTTAAAATTTTAAACTTGTATTGGAAGCAGATACTTGAAAGTTTTTTACAGATTTTATAATTGAATGTGCTATTAAAAAATAAATAGAAAAAAAATTAAAAAAAAAAAATAATTAGATTTTTTATCAATACTTACTTAATTATTTTATTTTTAAAATTCAAAGATTATAAAGGAAATTCAAAATTCAAAAATGCATCAGGTCTAAACACAATTTTTAATAATAAAATATTTAATACTTAAGTAATGAAATCATTATTATAAGCTAGTACAACAGAAGGAAGCTCAAAAACAAAAAATTAAAAGAAAAAGGAAAACCAAAAAAATACTAGTGTACCTTGCTTATTATAAGGAAAATGTGAAAGCCCAACGGTAAAACCAGGATATTGACCAGGACAGTGAAAAAACTATTATGGTAACAATTTTCAAAATTTATAAAAATAAACTTTAATTTTTTAAATTCAATTACTGCCGAATTTTAAATTCAATAAATTAAATAAGTACTTAATGGAAATTAAAGTATTTAAGATTTAAGAGATTTTAAATTTATAATTTTTTAATTTAAGAACCCAGACCTAACTAGGCAAATATATATAATTATGATAACAGTAGAATTTCTTATACATTTACAAATAACCATTAAAGTTATTTTTATTAAACTGTTAATTTAATTGAAAGTTTTTACAAAATCATTAATTTAATTGGAATGCGCTGATTTATTTTTAAATTTGCTATCATTCCGTTTTGTCTCATCCCGATTTGCCCTATAAACAATAATCCCGATTAGCCCTATAAACGCATTAAGTAATTAAGTAATTAGAGTATTTAATGTCATTTAAACTAATAAATAAATAAATAATAATTAAATTTTTTAATAACAAACAAGATATTTATGCTAATAATATTATTTTTCTTCAAATTTAATTATTGCAATAAAAATATTTAATACTTACATACTTGATAAGTAATTATTAAAAACTTAGTTAAATAAAATGAAAACGCAATAATGGCAAAAAATTTTAATACGAGTACCAGACGAGGAAAAATTTAAAAAATAAATAAGTACTTAGTGAGTGAATAGTTAAAATACCTTCTTAATAATAAAAGAACAAATTTAATATTTTTATGTACGTACTTATAAAATTTCTACTATACCACCATTTCAATATAAACGGTAATTGAAGATTGACTAACTAAAGACTGAAGATTACCCACGGAGTTTTTAAAATTATCATTATAAAATTTAAATAGGTAGATAAGTTATACGACCTACTTATGTATGTATAAATATATTATTTAACTTAATTTGAGCATTAACATAATTATTTTTATTATTTTATGTTAAATAGCTTAAGTAGTACCTAACCATTTGCAAAAAAAAGAAATGTTTTTAAAATTTTTCTCAATTGTTTTTAATTACTTCAAAAAATCACTTACTTTTACATATATATAGACATTTTTAAATGTAACTAATAAAACTAAGTACAGGTACAGTTTGATCAAAAAATTTAATAATATTCTTTTAATGCAGGTTAAAGTTTTATTATTAAATAGAAAGTTAGGTTAGGTACTCGTTATTAAATATGATTACGAGTACAATTATTTAATTGATTACATTTACGATATAAGTAAGTAAATTTAATTTTTTTCAGGATAGCAATGTAATTAGGTAGGTACTTGTTATTGAATATGATTTTATTAAAATAACGAGTACAAGTAATTTATTGATTGTATTTCCAATAAATAAATTAAATTTTTTGACATTTGGAAGGGTAGACTAATTACCGTAATTTTGTCAATTCTTTAACATTTAAGAAGATATATTCTAAAATATATTCTTAAATTTAACTAATAATTAAAATAAAAATTAAATAATTGTTATTTTGAAACAAATACTTAAAACATAAATTATATTAATAATTAAACATAAATAATAATAAAACATAATTAAATTGATAAAAAAATAAAAATAAAATTGATTTTCATTTAAAACAAAAAAAAAAAAACACAAACCAACTTAAAACAGTTCAAAATCCAAAAATGTTGTGAAAAAATTATAAATAAATAATTGTGTTTTTTAAATTAAAAATTTTTATATTTACCTTAAATGATTTCAATTTCCGGACAACAAAGTTGTTGAGTTTATTAGACCAATTTTTACATTTCATTAGGAGGCCTTTTCTTTTAAATTATCCACAATTTTGAATTAAATTTTTTCTTTTTCCCGTTTTAATTTATTTTTTTTTTTTTTGTAAAGATAAAAATTTAATTTCGAATAATCCCAAAAATTAAAATTATTTTCGATTTTTAATAATGATGTTTTTAATTGTGTGTTTTGCGTGTATAATTGCAGTTAATGTTAGTAAAAAATAATTTATTAAATAAAATTAAATATTTTTTTTTATTTAGCACCTACAAATTTATTTTTTATTAAGAAAAAATAAATTTTAATTCACTTTTAATTTTTTTTCGAAAATTAAAATAATGAAAACGAAAGCACAAAGAGATTTTTAATTATTTTAGAGTTTTATAAGTTTTAAGTGTTAGATTCAAGTTATTTTTTTGTTGTTAAGAATTTAAAATTCATTTAAATTAATTTTATTTATTTTGCTTGTAAAAAAATTGTTTTAAATTCAAATATTAAAAATGATTTTTTTTTTCTTTTCTTGAATAATTGAAAACAGTAAAAATTTTAAATTCAATAGATCAAATCACTGTCATCACAGTAAAAAAAAATTTATTTAAAATTTTCTTCTTTAATCTTTTACTGTTGTTCCTTTAAAAATTTTCTTTATTTTTTTGCTTGTAAATTTTTTTTAATAATTTTATAAATTCCTTTTTATTATTTAATACTTTATAAGTAGAATTATTTAATTTAATTAATTTATTTTTTTTTTTTAAACTTTCTTCAATGGAGAAAAAAAATTTTTTTTTTTTTGTTGTATGAGTTTTTACAACTTTAATTGTTTGCAAGTTACTATTTTTATGTTATTGGTTACCCACTGTATTTATATAAATGTTTCAATAAACTATTATACTTCATTTATATTTTATGTATATACAATATGCATATATTAGTAGATGAATGGCATATATGTAGGATAATAATAATAAAAATATTATGTATCTACTCTTGCATGTATACTATTTTTTTCGAGTACAACTCTACACTGTTATACTACTCCTCTGGTATGTACTTTAAAAAATAAAAAAAAAATATATGCCAGAATAATGAGAGGATAACGTAAGAAAAAAAAATGAGGATACCTACGTAAGATATATATATGTATAATAAAATATTTTACGTACGATACGCGACAACGACGACGATGAGTGTATATAAGAGATGCTGTTATGTTTAGGATCTGTAATGATTTTGCTGCTTCTGCTGCTTGTGTTTATTCTCTGTTCTATAGTAAAATATTATTTATTATGGTATTCCCGTTTTTTTTGTTTTTTGTATTTTACTGTTGTTGTTATTATTATGAATGTTATTTTTTTATTTTTTCGTTTATTGTGATATTATTGTAACTATTATGATTATTTTTTTATTTGCATTTAATATTATGATTTTTTTGTTACAATAAAAAATACTATGGCGCTGCTTTACTTAAATTTTTTTATTTATTTATTTTTTAATAATATTTTTAAATTTTTTTTTTTCTATTTATATTTTATAGAGTAAGAGTTATAGTAAGTTTTTTTTTTTTTTATAAATTAATGTATTTTTATTATTTAAATTATTAATTTATATATTTTAGTTATATAGAGAACTACTTTTTATAATACTAATATATACTTATATAAATTAATGTATGTGTATATATGAGGATTTTTTTTTTTTAAAGAGGAGTTATATAAATATTATTGTTATGGCAGCAATAAATTTTTTATTAATTTTTTTTTTCCTTATTCTTGATTTTTTTTTTTAATATTTTAATAAGTATATTTTGATATCTCCCTCTCTTTTACTATATAAAATTGTAAAATGAAATTTATTCGAATTTAATTAGGTTAATTTTTATGTTTATAAAAAAAAATTGTCTTTCTTTTTATAGGTATATGTAAGAATGTTTGTTCTTCTTGTAATTATTTGTTCAATTTAAACACTAATATTATTTTTAAAAATGTCCAGTTTTTTTTTTATATCAATTTTAAAATTATTTAATCGCTATAAAATGAGAATTGAGAAATTAAAAAATTTTTCAATTATTGTTATTAAGCGTAAATAAAATTGTTATATTAAAAATTATGTTTTTGTTTTTTAAAAAAAGAAGAAAAAAATTTCGGTTTTTGATTGAAATTTGAACACAAATTTTTACTTCAAAGTCCAATTTATTTTTTAGGATTCTTGTTCTTAATTTTTTCTATTATACAAAATTAAATTGTTATGAAAATTGAGAAAAGGACTTTTTTTTTTAATTGATTTTTTCTCTTGTTATTCTCACTGTAAATAGTAATTATTTTTGTTATACAAGTTGTAACAAAAAAAAAAAAATTCAGTTGTTTTTGTAAGAAAATAAAAATTTATTTCAATATTTTTTTTTTTTTTTTGAAATATTAAATTTGAACACAAATTGTAGCTATTATAATTATTTTTTTTTTTAAATAATTCTTTATCTCTCTCTCTCTCTCTCTCTGTTGATTTGAAAATTAAAAATTGTTAAATCAAAAACTTAATAAAAATTATAATGTAAGTATGTAATAATAAATTAAAATAATTTATTTAATTTTTAAGTGTTTTTTTTTTTTTTGTTTAATAACTTATTTAATTTTTACAAAAAAAAAAAAATTCAGACTTTTTTTAAAAACCTCTGTTAAATCTTTATTATTTTAAATAAATTTTTATTATTTTTCTATAAAAGAATTCTTTATTTTTGTTTTTTGGTTTTTGGGCGCCAATTCATTGACCCCTTTCAAGAGAACAGTTATAAACAAAGTTATCTACTGTTTTTATTTTTATGTGTATTTCTTCTTTGATTTTTATTTTGTATGCTGCCTTTGCTTTATGCCTGCCTTTTCCCTTTGCTTTTTTTTTTATTATTATTTTTATGTTTTTTTATATAAGTATGTGCCTTTTTATGTTTTTATTATATTTTCTGTTTTTATGTTGTTTTTTTTTTATATTCTGTAATTTTTTATTTGATGGTTGCTGCTGCTCTTCTTCTTAAATATTTTATTATTATACAGAAAATCAGAAATATTTTCATTCTCACTTGTTAGAATTTTTTTCATTATTTTTTTTTTTTTTTTTGTTGTGTTATTGTTGTTTATTTTGTTTGTTTTTTTTTTATTATTAAATAAAAAATGTTTTTTTTTTTTTAATTTTTTTATTATTTTTCCAATGTTTTTATTTCAGATATTAAGTATAGTATGTATGAAAATTGTTTTTAATATTCACAATTAAATTTTTATTAAAAAACACAAAAAAAAATTCTTTTCTGGAATTTTAAGTTCCGCCAGAAGTGTGAAAATCCAAAAATTATTAGGAAAAAAATTATTAAAATGAAAATCAAAATATTATGTAAAAAAAAAAAATTTCGCGCTTCGCGACGATATTTTTTCCTATTTAAATTTTTTTTTTTTTTAAAACTGTTATACACTTCTTGTTTTATATTAAAATTTATTTATAAAGTTTATTTTATTTTTTCCAAAACTTGTTTTTTTTTTTTATTTGATGGAAGAAAAATTATTTATTTTTTTATTTATTTAAGAAATTTAAAATATTTTATTAAATTTCGTTCAAAAAATTTTTATTTATTGAAAATTGATTTAAGAAATTATAAAAATTTGTTGAGAAACCAAAGATGAAAAAAAAATTTAATATTTTCCTTATATTTTTGCTATTTAAATTTTTTTTCTTTTCTTTTGCTGTTTTATTTCTTATTATTATTTTTCTTTTCTTGTTTTGTTTGTTTGTTTGTTTTTTTTTTTTTTTTTTAATAAAATAAAAATTAAAAATAACGCAGGAGCAATCGAATTATTGCTTCCGAACAGTACGAATTGTCACAAAAGACTGAATTCAATTTTATGAATATTTTTGTGGATTTGGTTTTTTGGTTTCGATTGGACTTTGCTTTTTCATATATACATATAGTTTTCTCTTGGCATTTTATTTTGTTTTGCTTTTTTTGTTTTATTTTTGTGTATTTTATTTTTATACGATTGCTTTTTATTATTATATTTCTCTATATTCTATTTTGTATTTCTATACAACATATTATCAATTTATGTTATATTTATACACATTTGTTATACACGTATGCATGTGTATGTGTGTTGTATTAAAATAAAATTAAAATTATATACAGTGTATTAAATAAAAATATAATAAAAAAAATCAAAATATTTATATGAATTTCATATACAGTCGTACACAATACTTAAATAAGCGTATCGTATATTTCCTATATTCGTATCGTAATTCGTTCTTGAATGTATTATGTTTTTGTATACATATACGAAAATGAAACTTTTATTTTCTATTTAAATTTCAAAGCAAACACATAAATGTGTGTGTTTCATTTCAGTTTTATACTGAGATACCTACACTTCTATAATGCTATTAAAGTATTAAATAAATATGTGGAACATAAGTATATTATTCAAATGCATAACATTGTATAAGCATTATTATTATAAAAATAGATTTTTTTCTTAAACACAAACATAACAAAATTTGTATATACAGATATAAAAATAATAATAACAATAAACATATAAGAATCAAAGTCTAACAATCCAAATACAAAAATGTTTTGTTATTATTATTTAAAACAGAGCCAAAATACACTCAACATTTAAGAATAACATTACATTTTTTCTTTAAAAAAAATCCACTGCAGCCAACAACAAATTTCATATTATATTTTTACTACTACATCTAAATTAATATACATATAGTATTTGGTCTCTATAATAATAAGATATAGATAATTATGAAAAAGGTTATTATTTTATTTTCCAATTATATTTCGTATAACACTATTATAACATTCCACTCGCTGTTGTTATTATTATTTTTATTTAAGTTTTGTGTTGCGTATGTTCTTATTTTTATAAAATTTTTATTACAAAATGTGAGAAAAATATTATAATTGTGCCTATATACTCGTACATACATATGAATATAATAAAAATTATGTATGAATTTTCTATTTAAATTATTTAAAAAATATGTATTTTAAATTTTAATATGCATTTTATTATAAAAATTAGATTCTTAAAGGTAATCATCGTGTTACAATTCAAAACCAAATGAAATATAAAGAGTACCAATATAATATAGAGGTCATGACTTGTGACATTAATATCATGTTCTCAT